TACATTGTCTGTCCTACCTCAAAATCATTTGAAAAGACTTTTAACTTTTTAAAAACTATGCCCATTAGATGTTTACCCTAAATGTACAAGAGAAGCACTAAGACTGGAGCTCTGGTAATAACATTTCCTCTTCTGTGTAATTTAAGCATTATCCCTATCTATTTGAGTAAAGATAACAATAGGTAAGTGCTGTAATGCACACTTGTGATTCCAACTACTGAGGATGCTGAGGCAAAAAGATCCAGAGTTTCAGATCCATCTCAAAAAATATATTAGTGACAATAACGAGTAATACTTTTCACACGTACTTTTATTCTTCATAACTACACTACCAGTTAGGAATTATTAGAATCTGAATTTTATTGATGAGAAAATTGAGGCCTGGAGATTACATCCTGGGGATTCCTTTCCTGGCAACTACCTCTCCTGCTGTTTACAATGCAGTGTAGGAACAAGGTGTAGGTTTAGACATGTATTTGATGATGGGGTTTTACACAACACACCCTTCAGAATTCAAAGGGTTTCTGACCTAAATCCCCCACTGTCCCCATTCCCCATTACAAACATTCTGATGTGGCATTCACTTTCTGGGCAGTCACAAACTTCCCCAACACAAAGGCTGCCCTTCTTAGACGAGGATAGTGCAGGAAGGCATCCAAAAATGTTTTAGATTCAGAAGGCTGCAAACAAGAACACCTTGTTTCCTTAGCCTGCATGAAGCCCTGGGTTTGATCCTCAGTACCGCAGAAATTTAAAAATGCAGCCTGGCACCTAACCTACGTCTCATCTAACCCGTGCTGCACAAGCATACTTCTACGTAATGCAAAACATGCGTTTTGTAACAAAACAAACTTGAGACAACCGTCTATCCCCTACCCTCACCACATCGCAGCAGTCCAAGGAAGGCAGCTGTAAGGTCCTTAACATGCTGCTTAATGTGTATTTTCGTCCAACAACTTTTTTGGGTTCTTAATATGGACTTGTTTACTCCTCTGAGACTTACAAACGGGGACAGACCCATGGTGTCACTACAGGTTTAACTGTGCACATCTCCAGACGGCCTTTAGGAAGACGGACCTTACTGAAGGACCTGAATGGCTGGATGGCCTGTACAGAGGAGGCCAATCATCCTCGGTGCCAGGAACTCGCAACGAGCCTGTGATTCGGCTACCACCTGGATTCCTGCTCTGGGGTTGGGCGGGCTCCAGAAGCGCAGGCGGGAGGCTGCCCCGCCTAACCCTCCGCACCGCCCACCCGGCTCCGGAGGTACCTGAGAGCGGCGGCCGGTCGGGCTCCTGGCCGCCGCGGGCGGGCGGCGAGGGGTTGAGGAGGTGCGCGAAGCTGGCGGCGAAGGGGTTGGCTGCGAGCGGCTCGGTGCGGTACATCTCCCAGAGCAGGTAGAGCGCCGTGAGGCGCTGCGCGGCGCTGGGCAGCAGGTCCGGCTGCTGCAGCAGCATCACCAGCACCGAGCCCAGGCGGAAGTGGTCGGCCTTGCTGAAGTAGTGGTGGAAGGCGGTGGACAGGCCCTCGAAGGTGCTGCCGCCGCCCGCCTCCTCCGAGATGATGCTCAGCAGGCTCGAGAGCTCCTTCGGGGTCAGGCTCATCCTGCCCGCGGGGCCGCCGGGGCCTCCGCTGCCCGGCC